CTCATTCAATAAATACTTTTTATAGAAAGGATTTATTCATAATTATCATGTCTAAGTTCAATTATATAGGCAATAATAAGAAATTAATAGCAATGTCAGCCCTAAAAAATATCAAAAGACAACAAACAAAATATGCAATAAACTGTAATAACTTGGTATGTTGTTGGGGTGTAATAGTTAGTAAGCTGGTCTCACAGATTATTATTAGTGAGTTCTATCCTTACTGGATGTTCCATACCTGTAGTCTTGTGCTAAAACTTAGCTGTGCATAATAAATAAATAGACTGTGATAACTGACAATTTTTTCAAAACATAATTTAACTTGCTATAACTGATTTGAAATAGTTTTAAGTATGAAATAAAAAAAATATTGAATATGTGTTATGTTTTAATTTAAAATAGAAAAAGTTTAGAATAGTTATTGAAAATAATATCTCATTAAAAACAACTGTGTAGATACTTGTTGTTAGAGTAGTAACTAGGATAATAAAATTCTAATTTAGATACTAAATGACATTTGATTTATGTAGTAGTATCAAGAAGAGTGTATCAATGATTCCCATTCCTTTAAAGCACAATGATTCAGAAGTCATAATAGTATTTTAAGGATAATGTACAAGTAGAGTTTTTCCTGGTTCTCGATCTAATCAACTTTTTATCAATTGAATTACAAGTTATGAACTCATAAAAAAACGAAAAGAGTTAAGTGGTAGTAGCAATTGAAACTCAAGATGAAGTGAGTTACTAGTTGATAGCAATGATGCAAAATAGCTTCAATAAATGGACTACTTGCCAATTTCAAGGCTTGAATACTAACCCAGTTTGAATTTGTAAAGAAATAGTTTCTATCAGTTGAGCCAGGGTCCCCAATTTTGTAGTAGCAGTTGAAGTAATAGAAATAACAAGAGCGACTGTAAAAGTAGTGGTAGTAGTAATAGTGGAGCAGCTGTCGGAAGCGAGTTGGTTATCGTGGTGGTAGTAGTAGTAGTACTAGTAGTAGAAGTTCTTGAATTGACCACTTCTACCTTGAACCATTATTTTGAGGGAAAAAAAGTTCTTTTTGTTTTTTTTCAGTTGGAGTAATGATTTTCGACTCATGATAGAATTGAAAGTAGGTACTTCCACTAATTCGCAATACCTAAGGTTTAAAATGAATTTTAAAAATTAAAAATCCTTGAAGCTTTCATTTTTGCTTTTGAAAGCTAAAGGATTTACTTATTTCCATTAAGCAAAATATTCCGTAGTGTATTTCAAACATAAATTATACTGATTGGAGTTGATTCACTTTTTTTTTCTTTTTTAAATTAAAAATAGCTGATTTAGTCATCTGTCATCGCAATGTAATTTTCTTTATTAAAAAATCTTCCAAAAGTAAAATATACTTTTCTGAAACTTTATTTGAGGAATATTAGCTGAAAGTATAATTAATCTGATTTGAAACAAATATTTTACTTTAAGTTGAAAAAAAAACAACAGAGAAATAGATTTTTAAAACAAACGGTAGCAGTGATTACGTGCTTGTCATCCCTCGTAAATCACCTAACAAGTGCTCCTAAAAGTGTTGACAGTTTTATTGTTGTGCTACGGAGATTTTATCTGTTAAAACATAATTTAAGAAAATGACGTGTGAACGCTTTTTTATATAATTTTTAAGTACTCAGTAATCTTAAAAACGTTGGAAATATTCACCGTAATCTAATCTTAGGAATGTTGACTTTAAATTTACTATAGTCATCGCTCTTATTTTCTGATAATGTCGTGTATGGTCACCCATACTTTCAAAATGGGCACGTTTACACAAAAATCAAAAATTATTTTAAAAATCTTAGTGCATGATGATTTGTATTAAGCTTTTCAATTTTCGCTTAGTAAATAAATAGTCTTCACACTTCACTTAAGCTAATGAGGTCAAAGTTTTGAAGAATTTTTAAAAGATTTTTGAAACTTTATAAATTATTATAATTAAAAAAAAATGGAAACAATTCTTGTAAAAATTCATTATTCATCGAAATTTTTTTTCAGACTATAATGTCCTTAAAAGCAACTAAAAGCTTAATGTCATAGTTTTATTGCTGTTTTTATTTTATTATTCGGAGCAGATTTTCGGGAAAGCCGTAAACTGTTTAAAAGAAAAAAGAAAGATGATTTACAATTCATTCTTCAAGGAGTTTTGCGTTTGGTTTACTAAAACAAAGTTTGAGGTCGGAACTTAATTTCTAGAAATTTCATGAAATTAAAAAGTAACAACTGATAGTAATAACCAAGAGGCCGATGGTAATTTGTCCAATTACGCTAGAACCTGAACGTACCAATAACTTTAGTTTAGTTAGTTTACCTACTCTATGATTAAGAAGAGTAGTTGTAATAGTGACAGTAAAGTAAACCACGTTGCGATCTTTCATTTGAACCATAAAACAGCTTGATAGGGCAACAACAAACCAATTGGTCTACCTATCCATAATGAATGTGATGACGGTCGGGTAATAAGCAATTGTTACACAGTAAAATAAAACCGTAACAAGTTGATAGCAGTAGTAGCCTATGTGCCTACTCATCAACTTCAGCCTAGAGAGTGAGCCAGAACAAATTTGAACGATGACTCCTACCCTCGCAATAATAGTAGGTATTTATGATCTGCCACACCACGAGGACAAATGTGACCCAAGGTCTACTTTTTTAGTGTTGGGTACTCAGCAGCACACTACTGAAGGTCGCATGGTGGGTCATCCAGAAATTTCCCAGTTTCCTCAGTTATTGCCGCAAGCATCAGAGTGTGATTCTGCCATAAACCGTGTAAGTGCAACGGGGAGGTGTTACCTGAGGGATGGATCCCCAGGCACCAATCTTGAGTTAATTATTATTGGCTTGTAGCCCCGAAGGGCCGGAAACTGAACAGAATGTAATGAAGTAGTAGTAGTAATAATAGTAGCAGTGGTGATAGTAGTAGTAGGAGGAGGAGGAGGAGGAAGCAACAAGGTGGTGGCAGTAGCCCCGTTAGAGAGAAGAAGTATGAGTAGGTATTAGGAACGTGGTGGCAGTGACAGCTCTTAATACAGGAGGTGAGGGTCAGAGTGGCGTATGCGCGTGCGCGCTCCGACGCTGTCATGGCTGCCGTGGAGAGCCGCTGTGCTAGTATGCCGCCGCCACCGCTGCTGCCTGCTGCCACTGGACATTGCCGACTCTGCTGAAAGAAGAAGACAGTCAAGACAAGACTAAGTGACACATACCCGACCTCCTGCGGGAGACTGGCGGCTAGCCACACCGCAGCCCACCTTTTTTTAGTCTACTACGAGGAACCTCGGAACGACAACCAGCAGAAAGAAGAAATAGAAGAACTCGAAGAAGGAAGGAGGAGGAGGAGGAGAAGTGGAAGGAGACGACGAAGACGGAGAGGGAGGAGGAGAAGGAGGAGTAGATAAAAAAGGCCTCGTCTCATATATGTTTTAAAAACGTTAAAAAGACAATCTTTTCAAAAGAGAGAGAGAGAGAAAGAGAGAGAGAGAAAGAGAAAGAACCCCCAAAACAATAACAACACCACTACACCGCCATCCCACTTACTTATTGTCTTTCCCTTGTTAGTTCTGATCAATTATCATTGACAACAAGTTATCCCCTCGGCTCGGTTCTGATTCTACTAAAAAGCTACTTCCTACCACTATATTACCACTTGCTGCTTTATTCTGCATATCAGTCCCCATATACACAAACCACATCATAAATATTTAAAAAAAAACTCACTTGTTATTATTAATTAAAAACAAATACAACAGAATAGTTCAACCTGCCTGTTCCATGTATTTGTAAAGAAGGTGTACATACATGTCTGTGTATAATGTACGTCTTCTGATTGTATGTATATAATGTCTACCAACCTTACCCGATTAGTAGTTAGGGAGGAGTAAATTTACTGCAGTTTGTCTAACTCAACTGTCTGTCTGTCTTTCTATCTCTCAGTGTCTGTCAAACTATCTACTTGGCTTGTTTGTTTCTTTCTATGCCTGTTTATACGTCTACGTTTGTGTGTCTATGTGATTTTTTTTTTGTCTAGAAAAATCCATCCATCACGTAGCTTTTCTAATTTTTTCTTCTTATGTGTATAAAACTTTCTTTTTTATTAAAATTTAGACCTCTTTTTCTGTACTTTTTTCTTTTACTTATTGCTGATTGTTCCCTTCTTCATTTCGCTAGTCCGCATACATGCATACAAACATATACACATAGTTCCGTGCTACTAGCTTACCAATACCATAGAGAACAAATTCACACTAACCACTCTGACTATATACCATGGTGTATACTTTTACTAAACACTCAAGATTATGCTTATACACACACACATATATAGATATCGACACCTACCTATATTTCAGTAGCTGTTTCTTTGTGAGGCTTGTTTCCTCAACAAATATTTCCTTGGATTTATTCCTAAAACTAAAACAGCTCTTCCAGTACACAGCAAGTTATCTCCTTCTTACTCCAGATCATATTCTGACAACAACTACGTTTACAAGCTTAATTAACACGATCTGGACCTGACTCGGAAAAAGGGGATAAAAAGATATCATCCACACCTAGTTTTATATATTTTTTTTACTCTCATTATCTTTTTATTTGACGTGTGTGTGTGTGTGTATATATATATATATATATATATATATATATATATATATATATATATATATATATACATATATATACATATATATATATGTATATGTGCGCGTCCGCACACATTTTCTCTCCCTCTTTCTCTCTCTCGCTCGATCGTCTACACAGTGGCGTAAACCGCATCATACATCGTACACCAAACACACACCCTGGTCTACACTTGAGCACACAATTCTCTCCACTGCTGTGTTTCTCTTGACACACAACACGGTAGTGGAACCCCCTTCGCAACTGTGTGTGTCGGTTGGAGCCACTCAACTGGCTCCACCTCCGTTTTTGGCCGTTGCCCTTGTCTTAGGTGCTCGCCCCCAGCCGTCTGCTGTTGTGTGACCATGGCCTCGCAGAAACCTGGAGAATGGGTGCAGTCGCTCATAACAAGATTTGATGCCCAGGTAAGTCGACCTGACCGTCTGTCAATGTCGATCTATCTGTCTTATTTTAACTTATATCGACGTATATCAACTTCAATCTCATTTCTATGATCATCCCTTTTTAACTGGACATCTCTGAAATCTACTGCGCTTGAGCAACCAAGTGATGATGGATATGGATAGATTGGATGGATGCTGCTATAGAGAGTGTTACTATGTTTGTGCTGGGTGATCATGGATGGATCACTGTCATTTAAATAATGTTAGCATATGTGTGGTTTGTATAGCATAGGAAGTAGTAACTAATAATAGGCAGGTTTCTAAGACATGAGCTCTTGCACAGAATGTATGTATGTATGTATGTATGTGTGTGTGATTGCAATGTCTATCAAGTCTTATAGTGAAGTCACTATCTGGATGAACGTAGAGAAATGCAGGTGGGTGCAGGTGTCTACGATGTTGAAAATATGGTTTGGTGACGATTTCGTATGTATATCATCAATAAGAAATTTGCGATAACGAACCTCGATGAATGATGATGTGAAACTCTAAATGATATATTTTTACTTATGAGATCTACGCTTTTCTTTGATAATTTCATTCAATATCTACTGATGATATCGCCTGAATAACGTGTTGACTGTGAAAAAGCAAGTCATTTCTCGAGTCGCTGTGATTCCGCCACAAAAAGCGTGATGCTTGTGTGTTGGTTTGTTTTTAATCTACAACATCCAACCAGTATCAGTCATTATTGATAGTTTTTAAATGTTAGCAGTTGCACAAGGCCACGTTTGTGGAGCACATAGCTAGGATCGAACTCGCTCGCGCGCTAATCATCTGTACTAGTGAACTGTACGCTAAAGCTCCCACACACCACATACATTATGTCACATCACATCTGATCAGACATTTACTTCATTATCGTCGTCATCGTCGTTAAACAATTTTGACACATTAAAAATTAACGTATTTCAGGGTTGACATTTTACCTTTTAGCGGCAATTTTTCTCGATAGATGATTTCTTTTTCTTTTTTCCTTTTATTTTGATAATACTTTATTTTGACTTAGTCACTGATCTCGTTTCTAACTAAATTCTAAAAAAAAAACTACGTCATTCATTATTCACAATGTTGTATGTAAATAGGTAAAGAATTGTAACTGAATGAATAATAATGCCAACACCAATATTGTTTGTTTAGTACTTTTTGAAATATTTCTTTGGTTATTACATTTTTTTGAATGACAAGTAAACGTTGTGAGTAAAAAAAAAATGCAACTACTAAAAAAGTCCAGAAAAGTTTCTTTCTGTGTTATGTATTTTTTCTTTGATTTTGAGAGTTAATTAGAATAATGTTACAGAAATAAAAGTCAGAGATTAACGAATGAACTTTATTATGCAAAAATGATATTTGTATTTGAAAGTTTACTGGGTAAAGGTATTTTTGCTAGAGAAGAAAAGAAAATAATAGTAGCCAGTGGTTTTTTTTTACTTTAACTTTTATTTTTAATTCTTGTCTTCTATTCGTAAATGTAATGTAATGATTAGTAGATATTAAAACCTAGGAATAAGTGTTCGTTTTAACAGCTGTTTAACACATAAGAAATTGTAGATATAGGTAGAAACTGGAACTAAGTCCCCTCCCTCATCAAACTTGCATTCGGAGCTGTTAACCCGTGTGACAGTGACCGTGCAGGAGGAGGCCGGCCACGCGGGTCCTGATGATAATGTTTGGGTGAATGCTTGCAAATAATGTGCTTCCTGTTTTTAGTGTTCCTCCGTTTTGTCATCCGATTGACCGGACATCTTCTTCATCCTCTTTTGCATTTTCATTTTAGTTTTAACTTTTGTTTTATTTATTGTTCAATTTCACTCAAAAAGCATCTCAAAACAGTAACTTTTAATTTTTTAAGTTCGAGAAAGTGAAGGTAATACTGATTGCCACCATTTGTCCCTTTATTTCACGCATCTGACACAAAAATATTTAAATATGATAATATAATGCAGTAAGTTTTTTTTAAATACGTAAGAAGTTAGGAAAGCTTTCATATCAATTAAAATTAAAGATACTGCACGATTCACGTTTTTAATCTGTTCAGAAATGAGTTCTCTGCATCATATTGTCACAACTTTTTAACGTTTTTGTTTGTATTCAATCATTTTTTTAATGAATGTAAAATAAAAAAAAAATATTGTTAGCTTCCTTCGATTTATCAAGCAAGGTGCTGAAGCTGTTAGTGCTAAAAATTCACTTGTTATATAACTTTTTAAAAAAATGTTCTAAAATGATGCATTGCTAATTGACATATGCTTTCGTTTATGGAATTTTCTCATTTAATTTTTATAGGCTCAAATAGTTCACTGTCTGGTGATCTATTCTTTAGAGATTGAAATTAACTTCTTCACAGTAATCTGTAGTGATGTAAAAATTCCATTTTCATTTGTTCAGATTTTTATAAAGTTGGTAAAAAAATCCTAATTTATGAAAATGAGAAATTTGTCTTTTTGTCTGTCAGTTCACTTTATTCGAATGTCTTCATGAGATGTTAGTTATTGAAGTTGATTAAATTGATTCAATTGACTGATTCATTAATCGAACATTTAAAAAAGCTTATTTACTGTGGTGGGGTGGCTTCTTATGAAGCATATTAAATTCTGTTGATTTTCCTATCATATTTTGTAGTTTTCGTTTTTGCTTTTTTGTCCTTAATTTAATTATCAAATCTATTAAAAATAATTTTTGTGAAATTATTTTTAATTTAATTAAATAAATGATCTTTATTTCTAGATTTTATCAAATATTGTTGTTGTTAAAAACTTTCTTTTAAAACAGTTGCATTGTCAAACTTCGAATATAAGAACTCATTGCACACGTAAGTCAAGTGACAACTATGAAATTTCCATAGTTACATGAATGTTATACTTGTATAATTCTTGTTCAAAATTAAAATAATGATGTAGGAACCCCAGACCCTGCGGTAATAATGGGATTTTATGAAAAAACTAAAAGTTTCTGTGAGCTGTTGATTTCTAAGGCATGGGCGAAATAACTGTCAAAATATGCAATAATTCTACAACGTTTGCTGAGTAAACTGTTCTTAGTTTCATTGATTAGTCTTCTTTGTAATGTCTCTAACTGTAAGTATGGCATAAGTTTTTTGTTTACACACTATTGGGTACTTGTTGGTTGTTTCTTTCAAGATCTTTTGCAAGTATTTTTGTAAATTGTTAAACTACTTTGCTATAAAACTAAAAACAAAGATGTTTCAGTTTCATCCCTTCTGCATTCACCTGATGCATTGGAAATTAAGCTACCTACCCACTAACCAGCCCTAAAAAAACTATGGATTACACCACAGACTACAATTATTTTTAGATTTATGGTGAAATTCAGTAAATTCTGGACACAATCATGTTGATTAGACATTAAACAATCTCTGTTAACAGCCTTAACTTCCAAATAATATCTATTAATACCAGTTTAAAATTTTAACATAAGCTGCTTCTGAAGATGCTCACATGTCTTTATTTTTTTTTAATATAGTCATTTTGTCTTTTTGAAATTGAGTTGAAATTTTCTGTTTACTGTGAGCAGATACTATTAGAATCTCTTTAAAGCCTGGAAAAGAGCATTTTGCAATGTAGTATTGAAATGATGATGATGATGATAATAATAATACAAACCCTGGCTGATTTCTTATCTCTTAGCAGATGTTCTGTAATCATTTGCTCTAGATTTTATTTGCACATGCACAAATGAATGCACAAATATTACTACCCATTTTTATTCTTTATTTGAATACTGCTAAAATGAATATTGATTCCTTTCTAAAACAATTTTTTCCTCATGTATTAATAATAATGATTATAGACATTTAGTAAGTTTAGCTAAGCTGGCTTTGACATTATTAGTGCATCCAATGTGGACTGAACTCGCAACATGAGCAATAGTTTGTAAGACTAGTTTGAAATAATAATTTATACTTAGTTTAACAAGACCTAATCAAATTCTAAAGCTAATAAACAAAAGTCTAATCATTTTCTTATTAAGATTTCTATTTTGGCATTTTAAACAATTCAGAATATCTTCATGGATCATTACGGATGAAAACAGTTACTTTTATTTCATTAAATAAGTTTTACAGCAGTATTTTCTTTTTAATGAAACTTAATTAATGAGTCATAACTTTTACTCTTATTAAATTGTTTAACAGATCTATACTTTGTCTTTAAGAAATGTTATTCTCTTAATTGTTGCTTCCTACCATAACAGAATATAGATAATATTTTTCTGTGAATACATAGATTCTTATGACAGTTTCAAATTTACTAATGGTGCACATATGCACATATAATTAATAGCATTTAACTTGAGAAAATGTCCATGTTTTAGATTGGTATCTTAAAATAGTTAACAGTATTACTAACTTATGTTAAATCAAATGTTTTCTTACTATCTTGATGCATGCATCTCTTATACTGATTTCAATATATGATTGAGTTGAATTTTTCCACCCATCAACTCTGCATTAAATTCACTTTATAAGGTGGACTTTGGACATGGGGGAAAACGTACACATGTTTTTTAGTATTGCTGCTGGATTTTTTTATTTATTTTGTAATGGTCAGTCTCTTGTTAGTGATAGGTCAAGTGTTGTTCCTGTTCAAGTACAACCAACTTCAGTGCCTTTCTTGTTACAAACACTTTTTTTTCTTGTCTCTAAGTGGCACACTTATATTTGCTACCATATATTTTTCATTCACTGCTTTGAATTTATTAAATTTCTTGTACTCTTGTATGGTCTTACAAATAGAATATAGTATTTTGATATTTTCCTTGTTTACCTACACATAATAGTTTTATACTTTTCATTGTTGTCTTCAGTTTTTGTCTTGCATCCATATCTTTGGGTTTTTTTTGGGTTTTTTTTTGTTTTTTTAGCATAATCTGTATTTGCATATTTGGAATACATAATGTAAATCCAGCTTATATATAAAAAGGAAAGATTTTATATGATACTT